CCCCAAAACCCCAAAACCCCAAAACCCCTTTACGTAGATTTTAATTGATATAGAACTTACTAACAATTATGGATACTAGAGATACACCACTTGATGTATACTTCCGAATGTTTCGAAGCGAGAGCCCTGATTAGTACTCAGGCGGATAAGATGAACGAAATAGAACTATATTGTTTATAGTAAAACTGGATGAATAAGGTTATAAATAGGTCTTCTTCCAATAGCAAAGGCTTGGCTCTGTATCATTAATAATCAGAGATTAATCATGTCTACTACCCATATGCAACTCTTGTTAATTTTTATTTCTCATTGTGAACTGGCATCCCTAGCCTAAAATAATACTTAGGACATAGGACAACCTATCAGAGGTGTCAGAAATTCATCGTGATGTTATAAATCATAAGCATGACCATGTTGCACAGATTAATAATAACTCAGAATTGGTGTTAGAAGGATTCCGTATCGAGCATATCTAACAATCACTTACTAAATTACGATTTATAAAAGCCAAAATCTTCTCTTTGACGTCTGCTCTTATTCACTCACCAATTTGTAATTCATCAACGAAAGATGAGAGTTTATAATATCATCTCAGAAGTTGTCAAAAATTTTACAAAAATGTCTAATGAGCCAGAAGTACTGGTCAAACTCTCCAAAATATCATTTTTGGTAGAACTTCGACGATCCTTGCTTCTTTGAGGATTTCCTAAGGATTCTAAAATTTCTCATATTTCAGAATTATTCACCGCTTTATTCTTAGCAAGGGTATAAATTGGAGAATATTTCGATAAATTAATACAAATAAATATGAAAATTTACTCTGTAATCACTTTAGTTATGATGCTCCTAATGGCCTCATTTGCTCAGATAGCCCAGGATGAAGACAAAATGGAAGCATTGAATCAAGAAGCTGAAACCCTTGCTGCAAATTCTTCCTGTGGACCTCTTGAACTGGCGATATGTGGCTATATCATGTCTAGTGGGAACTACTATTTCTGCCAAATCCAATCAGTATGCCTCTGCTGTGGCGCTCTCCCCGGCCAAGTCTGCTACGGCCACTGAACCATCTAAACCCTCTTTCTCCTCTCCCACACTTAGCCTCGCCTGCCCAGCTGCAGTAAGCTCCATAGTTGTGTCAGTAGGAAAGACTAATTGATAAAGTTCGTACTCAATGTTAGACCACTGGCTCGGGGTTTTGGGGTTTTGGGGTTTTGGGGTTTTGGGG